GTTTACAATTCTATATAAAAAGACGAAAAGAAAAAAAAGAACACTGAATAAGAGAATCGAGGCGGACAATTTCCAACACGCTGCTCGCTGCGCTTTTTCGTACATTTTCAGTGCTTAGCTTTTAGCCAAATTGCAATTGCTACATTTTTGCATCTCGCGGCAACTCGCATTCAACACAAATTAAGAAAACACTGACGGCAAGGCCTCTAAAAACGGGGAATCAGTGTGAAATTTTTTACGATGACAACGAACTGGGAATCCCCTAGAAAAAAATATAATTCTTTATGCAAATGCAAGTGAAAGGAAATATCAATGAATCTTTATTCATTTTAATGTAGAAGAATGCAAAGTATTCATTCAATTATACAGATGCTAATGAACTTTGTATTAATTTTTATTACTGTTTCTGTTTTTTTTTATATAAAATTATAAAGTAAGACAAGTATTTACTACCTTTTGTGGTCTTTGTTTAATGGAAAAATAACTAGTATTGTTTTTAAAATAAAAGTATACATTATAGAATTGAGCATAAGTTTATATATTAATCATAATATCATCTAAAAATAATGTATCATCTTGTTATTTATTCAATCTGTCTAATCATGAAGTCATCTTTCTAGGATTCCCTTAAATTCCTCAAGATCCACTGAACTTTAATCTATATTTTACAAATACATATAGTTTCCATTACAGTCAATGGCTTTCTCTCATTGACTGGTTTCTTATCGCAAATATCGTCATACCCGTTGGGGTTAAAATTCTAATTTAGCAAAGCAATTCATTGTGAAGCTGCCTGAATCTGCTTCCCCATTTATACTTTAGACTTTTGAGGGGGGGCTGAATGTGCAAAAAGGGGGGCATATTAGTGATAGAGAGCCAGAAAGCTGGCCCTGTTTGCTGTACTCTCTTTGGCATAAACAAATATTGGATTGCACTATATGAAGGAACTGTCTGAGGCGTCCGTCCCCCCCCTCTCTTTCTTTCTTTCTGGCAATCATTCATCCCCCTCATAACCCAACGCCCCTGGTTTGTTTGCACAGTTGTTGGCAGCGAATTTGTTGGCCAGACTCTGCTGATGAAGTTTCTCCCAGTTCTTTTACTATTTTTTTGTTCATCTTTTGTCCATTCACGCATTTTACAATGCCGCAAAAATGGGGTAGAGAGGGGGTGGGAGTGGGGTATTTAATCTTGACCAGGAACAACCAAAGGGGAACACCTTAAGCCCTGTCAGAGGTTCTACTGTCGGAACACCAAGGGAGTACACTGAACTAACACTAAACTATATTAATTTATTAGTGTTTTTAGCTTTTCTTATTTAAATTTTTGTTAAAATGATTCATATTTTGTTATTTTATTTATGAAATATAAAAAACAGAACACACCAAGACAGATTTATGGCTATTTCATCATCAAAGTGTGACAAAGCCACTTAAATAAATCGCAATAAGCGAATGAGCTAATTATCTACAGCTTCCGGTGCTTTATATCTTTATTCTTGAAATAAAATAATTACACAAATTAATGAAAGATAATAAAGAATTGTTATTGGTTAACTATTTAAATATTTCTTATAATATTTGCTGTTCAGTGTAGCCTCATAATCTATACTATTGATTTCCTATTTTTTATTATTTTCAAACTGCGAGGTTTTTGCCCCAATTTCCTCTTGAGCTGAGTGTAAGGGATAAGAGGGCATCATAAAAAACTGTACTGGGTGCGCTATTTGCATTTGGCTCATAACTCTTTTGATTGCAAATAAACCCACGACAGGCTCTTTATTATTGTTGTCGCTGCTGCCGTTGTTGTTACCTTCTGGCTCGTAAAATACCAAACACAAGTCACACCCACGCCAGGAATCCCAATTGAGGCTAAACAAAAAAGGTGACGGTGAAAAAAAGCAAGAGTGAAAAATAATAAAGAAACTGCTCCTCCTTCGCCGTCCAAAAGCATCCTTCAAACGCTTCCAAACAGAACAACAGGCAAATGCAAATGAAGTTTGCTCTTGTTGTTGTTTGTTATTTTTTTTGTTTTTTTATTTATATTTTTTATTTAATGGGCAAGAGGTGCGTCGGGGGCCTAACAGAGCACCAACTGTTTTCGAATACTGTCAACCCGGCAGACACTTAATGGCTTTTTTTGTGTTCATTCATGTGTCCCTGTCACAAACTTCTCTTCACGGTGAAAAAATAGGGGAATTCTAATTTTAGATTAATTAAAATATTTATTTAAATGGAATCTATATTGATAAACTTGGAATCCCATTTTATTTTATAAGATATTTTAACAGATATATCCAAAAGGATAAGAATGTATCTGTTGTAGAGAATAGCCAGGCTCTTCCCTAAGTTAAATACCATTTTAAATCAGAATAATGTCAAAACAAATTAAGAATTATATGACCAAATGTAAAAATGTAGATATAAACCCTTTAAAAGTAATATAAACCCCTTTAAAATATTTTACCTAGAAATATCGAACTAAGAAGTCACTCAAACACTTCCTCTCATATCCAATATAACTTCTCCTTGAACTTACCTAGATGTTTCTTCCTGTGCCGCTGTAGCTCCGGTTCCTGCTCCTGGGATTGGCACTGCAGATTGATGGTAATTCCAGGGGCAGTGGCGGAGAACCCCAGGAGAAGCGGCGGGAGTCGCCAACTGCCAACCAGGATGAAATGGCCGTGTCATGGCTGAGCATGCGTAATGAAGCTTAAGTAGAACTGGTTATACAAAAAACAACAAAAAACTATATAAAACAGGGTCGAGGTGTTGCCTCCAATAAGATGAGAAAAAGATGAGATGCACGGAGTAGACAGTGAGTGAGGAAGGTGGAGAGATACCGCAGCGGATTCGGTTGACTTTGATTCATCTTAGCCAAGCGATCGCTTTAAGCCAAAACGAGCAAAATGTTAGGCATTAAAATGAAATCAAATGATAGAGGATGCAGGCCCAACATGATGACTCAGAAGATAAACAAAGGTATTAAATGGAAATAGTACAAGGGAAAAGTATAAAACCATTTTTTAGGGAGATCTTAGAAGGGGTAATGAAGTTCTAAGAGATTAAATCTGTGACAATAATTTTATTTAATTGGGAAATATTATATTAAATATTTCACATGTCATGCTTACACAAAGTGATAGAAATTAGCCGGGAATTACACAAACATTTTAAATGTTATTTGCCAAGAGAGCATCTCTCATAATATAGCAATAAATACAATAGAGTACCTAAATATTTCTTTTTTGTTGACTCTACTAATTAAGATTATAAAAACAAGGTAGAATTCAAAAGTAAAAAGTTCCAAATCAATTCAAAATGTATTTAAAATTGAGTCTCTTTAGTCCCCTAAATTATTAAGATCAATGAAGTATCTCATGGATGCTATATTTTTCGCTAGAAAACATATAGAAAATCTTTCACTGTTTACATCCTCTGACTTGGCCTTCAATTTCGATTCAAGATTCGATCTACAACCAAACTCCCTGCAATTGAAAGCCATTCGCCTCCATTTCGCTGGCCATTTCACTTAACGCTTTGGTGACTCCTGTTGGGAATGCTGCTGCGAATTGAGTTGTATCCTGGCCGCCTTTTCTCACATTTCCCCCGTTATCCTTGGGCCATGGCTCCTGATCCTGCTCCTGCTCCTGCTGGTGTCATTTTTCTTACATGCACACTTCATTTATTACCCCCAGAGGCGTGGGCCCCACTGCTTGTCGCATTATGTATCACTTATATGCATGTCGTTAGTTTTCATGACATTCGGGTGTTCTTTTGTAGTAGTGGAAAAGGGTTGAAAGGTTGGGGAAAACGTGGGAAAAGCAAGTGCATCCTTTTGTTGAAAATCGATACTAGGAGGATCTGAGTGTGTGTGTGTGGGCAATGCAAATTGCAAAAGTTTTCCAATGCTACCGCTACCTCGGCACTCTTTGCTCTTTGAGCTGTAAGTGATAGCTTTTCAGGTGCTCTCAGGTGTGGCACACAGTTTTCCCAACACACTCTGCACACTCCTGGCACTTGTTATTTTTCTGTTTTACGTTTTCCTGCGGCTTTTTGTTTGGAGCGTGTTAAAAATCTGTTAAATAAATCACAATTGCTGCGTGAGCACATGCCAGCATAAATCACAAAAGCATAAATTCAATTTAATTTTTGGTTCGTTCTGTGCAAACATCATCACATTTTATGCTTCTACAGATTGTGATGAAAAATAAGCGGCTTTGATACATAAATAGAAAAAGGTTTTTATGATCACCAATCAACAATTTGTTGAATAAAATTTGAGGTAAGGAGTATCGATATTATACTAAATTAATAGCAAAAAATACCCTTTAAAATGTTACAAAATTACATGAATTTACATAACATTTCCTAGGCATATAATATTTATCAGATTATGTAAATACCTTTATTAATTTCGCAATGTAATAAAAAGAACTAAACAAAGCAACCGAAGTTGCTTATCGTCAAACATTGTTCCTTTTTGTTTTAAAATAAGTAAAGTCATACAATTATTTTATATGTTAATAAAATGCTTTAAATATTTAATTATTTATTATTAATTTATATTTAATAATTTAATGAATTAAAGTGAACTCCTTTAAACTTCAACCTTTCCCTTCAAATATTTCGCTTAAAGTTCCCATTGCACAATCCAATTTATTAGCTTTACATATTATTTGCAGCCTTTTTTATCATCACCCAAAAATACAAAATAAAAAATTCGTACATTTTTCATGGTTAAAAAATGTGTGAAGAGAGAAATTCCAGCACATTGTGCAATAATAATGAAAGCAGAAAAAAAAGAGAGTTCTGTGAATGGGGATATAGAGTTACGTGGTTTTCGTGCAACCAAAAAAAATACGTTAAAAATAAGCCAACTCTAACTATAAATAAGCAGTATTTTCGCATATGTTGCGGAATATCTGCATTGCCATATGCATATATATCTGTTTTCAATAACAATGTTCTTCTTTTTTCGTGCTTTTTCCATGGCTTTCATAGGACGATGGCTATCAATCGGATCAGGCACAGCCGGGGGAGCTAACGGCCAGGAAACTGCAGCAAGTGGGAACCCAAGAAGGCGTCCTGGAGTACAGAAAATATCACACCAGTGAGTATGCTGGGTTTATCTTTTCCTTCATTTTTTGTTCCCCCTTTACCCGGGTTCATTGGGGCCATTAAAGATGTCCCTGCCCCGTTCCGGTCCCCCTTGGTAATTGTGCCTCAAATAGATGTCCGAGGCGCCCGCCCATGATCATCACGTTCTGGCCATAAAAAATGTGCTAAGCAAATGTGCAATGCTCTATGCGAAAGGGCAAAAACAAGCCAAACAAAACGCCACCAAATGGCCTTTGATGTTGAGAGGGAAGGGCCAGGAGCACAGTGGCAGTCAATAGGTTAGGGATACTAAAAAACGTATATCTCTTACTAGTTATTTCTAAAAATAAATAAATTTTTTAAGAGTTTCCCTAAGGCAACTTTTAACTTACACAATTTATTAGTAAAACAAATATTTACTCGAAAAGCAGCTCAGATTTATTATATTTTTTGAAACTTTAAGGATTATCTAATAACTTTTAGCAAAAACTGTATATTTCTTCAACATTTTTAACTTCAATTAATTATTTAATTGACCGCAATTGTATTAGCTTCTAGCTATAGTCCCTGGCAATCCCAGTTGTTTTTCCTGTTATTTATGACAATGGAAATGAAAATGACTTTTTATCCTTTGGCACGTGACTCTCCTTGTGAATGATGGAAAACCAGAGCACAAACGTCAACAAAACAAGATGGTTGAAAAGTCTGGCCTGAGTTTAACTTACGCACTTTACTTTCTAACTGTGGAAAAAGTAAGTGAGTGAAAATTTCGCCTTAAGAAGGAGTTGACAAATTACATACCAAGATGTTTTCCCACCAAGTTTTTCCCTTTTATTTATTTTTTTTTTTCTGTGTTTTTTGGGTCTCTGGGGTGATGCATCTGCGCTTTCATTGCAATTAAAAGGAGAGTTGTCTTGTTAAACAAACAAACTAACATACACACTCTTAATTTAAGTAGTTTGGTTTGTAGATATTTCTTTTATTTTTTGGCTAGAGGGAATTAGAGACTTGCATAGATCTTGCCAATTATTTCATTACAAGCCGAGAGCCACGAGGATTACAAAAAAAAAAGTCAACAAATAGCAGAGGTACATTGAACATTTATGTTTAATTTTTCTTTAGTAAGCAATTTAGTTATATACAAAATCTAATACATTTTAAATAGAGTTTCTTTTTGGAAATTTAGTTATAAACTAAATTATTTGTATATCTTTGTCAGAGGAAATAATTCTTGAGAATTATACGCTAAATTTTAAAGCAAAGAAAAGTTTTAAAAAAACATTGAACTTTTGAAAACAATTTATTGAACATAATAAGAATATATATTTTTTTTATTTAATTTAATTGTTAATTTTTTATTAATTATCTTTTTTGGGCCAAATAAATACTTGAAATTATATTTACGTAAACGTACTTAAAACTTCCAGCAAGAAACTGTTTAGTATAGATAAATCTATATCAATATTCAATAGTTTATTTTAAATCAATTCGCTAAATAATTAATATATAGAATATCAAAATGAATTGATTAATTAATGAAATAAAAGAATACTTTTTGTTATATTTTTAACTCCAATTTATATGCCTTTTCTTTGCGTGTAGCAATTACAATTAGGGGACAAACACACAGGCTTAACCCAGACCCCTGACAATGAAATGTGAGCTCGCTGTATATCAATATCTTTTTTTTTTGTTGTAGTATTTTCCCCCTTTTTCCACTGCGTCTTTCTTTCTGTCTCGTTTGCATTTGAGTGGAAAATTGCTGTCGCTTAATGGGCGCGAAAATTGTTTTTGGGGGAAAACCGTTAAGAGCGTGTGGACAACCACAGCCGGCAAAAGCCAATGAAAGTGTGTCACTAAGCCTGGGAAATTGTCAATGAAATGTAGCCAGTACATAAATGCATAATGATGCAACAATTTTCTTATCTCATTTCGATTTTTCCAATAGCAGTGCTGTTGTTTTTCGGTGTTTGTCGGTTTTTAGCTCTCCAGTGGCTTACTTGGCAGTTAAGTTTATTTATTTACACGCCACCGAATATTTGCACATCGTTGTCGATTGTTTGTCTTGTGCTTGCCGATTTCGGTTACTCATTTTGTTTAATTTTCCTGAACGTGTGACAATTTCATGATCTTGGTTACAAGTATTTGCAGATTAAGCGGAAAGGCAAATATTGATCAATTAGTTTGGAAAATCATATACAAGTACAGATAGAGTTTATATATTAAATGATGTGTAACATTTGGCATCACTTTGAGAGAACTTTATTGGCCAAGCTCAATGGATAAACTATGGCAATTTGCGGAAAAGGGCCAAGTCAATCCTCTCGCCTCATCATCCCAAGAATTGCCCCACATTTTCATGGGCAAATCTGTCAAGTTCAAAGGCGGCCCAGCCAGACTTTCCTCAACTCACAACACACAACTGCAATTTTCACCTCTCCCCGCAAGCAGGGGGGGAGGTCTATATGCCCCGTTTTTCCACCCCACCGCTTTCCTTCTATGACTCTGAGTTCTCTGTCCTCAGTCCTTGGTCCATGGAGCTTGTTGAGCTAGAGCCCCTTGAATTATTCATGTGGCTGCTGGGCTAAAGCAGTCGCTCCACATGTTCTGAGGCAGTCGAACACCATCTCCACCAGCAGGAACTATGGCTACAATAGCTACCTGAAAATACACCAAGGGAAATTGGGTAGTTATTATAAAATAATATAATATAATATATATAATATAAAATTGGGTAGTAATAAAGGAATATAAGTACAAATCTTTGTATATAAAATGCGAGTTAAAAGTTTTAGATATGCGATATAAAAGAGTAATAGAATTTGATAATCAAATAGTTATTAGGGATTTTAGTCTATTGAAAAACTATTGATTCTATATTGATTCTTAATTTTTCATTATGTAAAGTCTAAACAAGTTTTCATTTATTTTTCTCTGTGCATCAGAGCACATCACCACACCACTCCCCCTTCCTCGACGCTCGTTAAGTTGATGATTCAATCATGAAGCGTTTATGAAAATTACATATGGATCCAACAGTTGGATCTCCCTTAGAGATTCTACAGAATGTTGGTAAGGGAATGGTAACCAGACTAGGACCATTGACTAGGAACTGGGGATTAGCTTGTAACAGCATTTTGGGAGGTCTTTGGAACACACTCTGCCCCTCCAGTTCCATCTCCTCCAACTCCTCATCGATCTCATTGTGCCTCCTGCCACTTTACGACCGTCAGACAACCGAGGAGAAAATAATTCCGCATGCAAAGATCTTCTCTTCTGAGCGCTTTTTATAGTCCAAGTTGCGACTGCGACAAAAGGCAATAACGGTAAAGTTAAGTCCGCCAAAGGCCATAAAGGTGCAATCTCCAGTCAACGATCAATATAAAAAAAAAACCTTAAGAAGAAAAATAAGGAACATGGCACAAATGATCTTAAGCCGCTTCTGGGATGGCAGAAAAGCCAGTCAGTGGGCGATCGAATCGAAAAATCGCTACCGAAAGACATTGAAAATGCTGCTGTTGACTGAAAAAAAAGAAATATCCAGGAGTTTACTGAACTTTAGTAGGCTATTAAGTAATGAACCTGGTAACCGGTTGCGCCAATGACACACATTTGCCAAACACTTTGGTTATAAGTTAAAAGCAAAACTTATTAAAATTGCCACATTCAAGGGGATTATTTCGAATAGCCATAGTAGCTTATACATAAAATATTTAAGTGCAAAATTTATTACAAAGATTTTGAATGGAATCAAGAGACTAAGCTTATAAAATATGGGAAAAGGTATATTTTTTATTGATTTTTATGAAGTTAAAATTAATAGTCGAAAAATTCGGATGGCCTTTAATTGTACAAAATATTCATACTTAATGGGAGTTTCTTTAACTGTCTTAAAATTTAAAACACAATATATTTTAGTTCAAAACTGCATCAAACATATATATTTTCTCAAGATTTTGATATAATTTGAAAGTAGATACCTTCAAGGTTTGTTTATACTAGTTTTCAACAAGGGGAGATGAGATTTAAAAGTTTTAAACGTAAATCATGAACCGCTCATTGTTATTTACATACATTCTCTGCAACCTCTTTCTAAGACCTCTCTCTAGGTACTCTTTAACTCAACTCTTAACTTTAACAATATAATCTATATCCATTATTATAATCCATTAATTTCCCAAATATTTACCCATGAATTTGTATCTCCCACAGACCTCCAGGAACTCAATCAAATGGCAAGGGAACACCGGGCCTTTGTGCAGCGGGAGGGCAGGTGTCGTGTGCCCAAGCCTCAGGTGATCTACATGACCAAGGAGACCAATACGGTCTATTCCCCGCGTGCCACAATCCTGCATCAGTGCAGCGACACTGTGGGCTGTTGTGATCCGGGATTCACCTGCAAGATGAAGCGAAACGAGACCGTGAACCTGGTGTTCTCCGTTCACGTCAACAACAAGTCAATGGCCCGCATTGTTCCAATGCTAAACCACACCGAGTGCGGATGTGTGAAGGTGGAGATACGTCGCAAGCGGAGCACAGCCTGCAGGTGTCCCAAGCACTTCATAGACTTTAGCTGGCCATTGATTCAATCGGAGGAGGAGGAGAAGGAGCAGCAGGCGGAGCAGCGTTGCCGATGCGACTGCCATCTCAGCGATGATACCTGCAAGCGGTTGAAGAATGGCGAGGAGGGATTCTCCGTGATGGAGCGACGGTAGATAAATATTTATATTAAATTTTAATTATTCTTAATTTCTTAAATTCTCTTTACAGACGCATTCAAAGCGGAGACAGCAGTCCACCATTTTGCAATTATGGCCCCTACGACAAGAGAAATGGACGCTGTCCACGCCTGGTTATCAAAATCAAAATCAAAATCAGTATAAGAATCCGAATCTGAGCTATTATCAGCCAGGACATTTCCAATCCAAGCGCCTGCATGGCAAGAGCTAAACCCCAAACATCCCCAACCCCAAACTGTGCATAAACTAAATACTACTTATGCACTACCGCTACTTATTACAAACTCTACTTACTACTACTGTTTAAAAATTGCATGCCATTTAAAACATCCATAGCAGTGACGCTGAATCTTCCAATGAGGAAGATCTTAGAGAAAACTTCAATAAAAAATACGTCTAGTGGAGCACCTTCCAATATGTTAAGTCGTTAGTATTAAGAGCTATAATATGGATTGATTGCCTTGCTCTAATGACCCATGGTCATCCTGTGCAGACAAAAATCTGTGCAGAGTATTTATAATTATAAAAAAACTATTAATTACACAGCATTTACTATTAAAATCAACCCAGAAATAATTCAAGCCCCATATTTCGGTCAGAAGAAGAAGAAGTATTGTCAACCAACAACATTCGAGTGTACTTAAGTAAACGTCGATTAAGTTTCATCTCTTAAGCTACTTTATGTTATATATATATATTATATATTTGTATACAATTAAACGATACTTCTAGTCACAGCAAACGATTTATTTTTTGAGTATAATTATAACCAAAATTAAGCCCCCATAGATGGTAACATACACATCTATGAATTGGTATTCAATCCAATTTAATTGATTGGATGGATTGTACAAGTTTCTAGCACCATTATGACGAATGATATACTCCAACCAAAAGGTGGCCAGGTCACTGGAGTCATTGGACGATCGCGATAGAGTTGAGAGGCTTTTGATATAGCTTTGGTATATTCTGATTTATCAAGTATTCTTTCCATGGCTTGATGGAGTTCAATGTGTGTTAGATTGTTAGTAGACAGGGTCAAACCCCACTTTTTGATTGCATTCTCTGAAGATTGACTCGCTGATCTCCTAGCAAAGGTAACCCCAGCATGGGCACTCCATAGTAAAGAGCCTCCGAGATACTGCCCTTGCCTCCGTGAGTGATAAACAATTTAACTTTTCCACTTGCCAATAGCTCACATTGTGGCCACCATTTGGATATTTTTATATGGGGATAATCCCAACCAATGACACTACCATTTGCTCCATCGTATGTCCAGTATATATCATAGTCGTAAAGTGGGAGAAGGATTTTGTAAAAGTATACACCAAGCTTTGTGGCGATTTACGCCAAGTAAAGCGTGTGCCTAAACTGAAGATGATTATAGATCTATTTGATGATGATATTTCCAGGGAGTTCTTATTTAATTGTTGCTCCAAGAGAATGCCTCCAATATCCACCATATTGGGTAATACAGGAGCTATGGGTCCTTCACTAATCGCATGATGATTACTTAAGGTCAAAGCAACCGAACGACGCATGGTTTCAAAGCTGGGATATTGGGGTTCGGGAAAGTGTGCACTATAATTAAGGAAATATATTTTATATGTAATTATATTTTTAATAAACAACCTACCTGTAGATTTTCTCATCACTCTCCTGGCCATCATTTCCATAAGTTTCTCCCAAATACCAAAGATGCAAGCTGAGATGCCACTTCTCTGCTGACTGTCATAGGGTTGTGGGACATACCAACGCTCTTCGGGATTGCCCATTAGACTGTTCACGAATCCTGTGGGCTGTTGGGTGGATATTATGGCCACGGGACACTTGAGATGGGCAGCCACTCCCAGCAGATGATCATTGAAGTGATAGCCCAAAGCATGAGATCGAATTGAGTTTGGGAGCACTATTAAGGAATCTCTTCCATTCAGGGATATTAAGCAAGTCACCCGATTTCTCCAGACGATTAAACATTCTCTCCAGGCGGAGCACAAGTCCGAGGAAGAGCGGTGATCAGGCTCATCCTTTGGCTGCTCCCAGGGTATTAAAATGTGTGTTATATTCTCTTGTAAGGCATAATCCTCCAATGGCAAAGTGGTTACCAGAGTCAACTGGTGACCCTTTTGGACCAGAGCTTGACATACTGCCAAATGGACCATTAACTGGGAACGATGAACGTTGACAAAGAGACCCAAAATGTGATGGGACTCCACCGAGGTAAATGAAGCGGCGTAAACGAGCCACAAAAGTGACCACCAACTGGCCGGCGATCGGTTCATGACTGAGAGTCCCACAATTCAAATTCACATTAACAGGTAATTAGCACGGCGACCGGCACAGACAATCAATCAAAATGATAACTTATTGACAACAAGCTATGCATTTCGTTACCAAACAAAATCGAGTAAAAAATCGTGACGTCAAGAGTAATGAGATATGACATCATAAAAAGTTAAAATCTGGGTAATATAATACTAAATAAAAGTTAATATTAGCGTGGGAAATCTTTATAATATATATATACAAAAATATTTCGTATATCAATGTCGCACCACAATGACACCCCACAAAGGCGTTGGAGCACAGCGATTAATTACCCCAAACCACATATCAATGCCCAACTTAATTACTATGTAATTTAAGCTTATTTGCGGTTTTTTACTTTAACAAATTTTCTTTCTAATTAAAAATGAAAAGAAAAAAGCCAAAGCAATCATGTGGAAGCATCAATTACGTATCTAATTTGCATTTTCTAAAAGAGAATGGTATATAATTAGCTTAAGGCAAATGCATATGAGGGGTTGCATCCCTTACTAGGATTTAAAGAATTTAATTTATATAGCATTAGCTTTATTTCATGGGTAATTTTGAGTAAAAGTCCTCGAGGAATTCCTTCAATATCAACTTGAACTTTTCGGCATGTTTAGCCAATTCCACATGGGTTTCACTCTCCTCATTATCCAACATTTCATCAGCTTCGCCCAAGACTTGGAGGTAATGCAGCCATAAGGATTCCAAGCCAATCACCTGCTGGTGAGTCTTCTCCGACAGCTGAACCCTATATTTGTGGAGGAGCACAAAGAGCTCCAGCATGGGAGTGAAGCCGGCATGCCATAGGGGAACTTCCTTCAAAAGTTTTTCCAGCAATTGTTTGCAGCCGCAGTTTCCCGAAGAGTGCGAGGAACCTTCATTACATTCCGCTCGTTGCGTTGCATATAGGAATAGGTGGCTATAAAAAGAAAACTATAAGGATTACAACAAATATTATGTAAGACAACCCACCTTTCATCCATTTGCTGGCTTGATTCAGCAACATTTTAATATTCAATGCCTGCCACTTTTCGATCCAATCCAGAATGGTGCTCTTCAGGGCATTCTGATTGATCAGAACGAAGTACACATTAGTGATGGCATCCTCGAAGGACACATTATCCGCCAAAGCACTATAGTGCTCTATGCCACCCTCAAAGACTGCAGCTGTGCGGGAACTGGACATCAGACGTTGCCGGAATTCCCCCTCGGTGGTCTCCCAAAGAATACGATGTTATTCCAATGCTCCTCATATTTAGCCATTTCCTCACGCTGCCTCACGATCTCCGCCTGAATGCTTCTCATTAATTCCGAGCACTCCTGATCCTCGCGGAAAACAGCAGCAAATCCCTGACGCTGCTTCTCCTTGGGTAGCTTTAATTTATAACCCAATCTCGGGAACTGATCCAACATGCTGCGAATGCTGTCGATAATGCCATTTATCATCTCACCAATGGCATCCATGTTGGGACTGAAGATAATGCCACCATCTTTAACATCCGATTCGAGAACTATTAAAGGAACTGGTGCCATATCATCATCACAGTGCAGAGCATCATACAGCTTTGTTAAGGAGCCAAGAGCACTGGTCATCAGGGAACTGGCCAGCATGTCATCCAGATCATTCACATAAGCTATCCACTCGGGGGATATCTGAAATTAAATAAATTAAAGTTTAAGAATGTAGAAAGCTATCAAACTTACCTCATCGTCCACCGACTGAAACTGCCGACTGAAGGCACACAGAAGCTCCACTATATTGCTGTAGTATCTTCTCAATACATCACCGGATGAGGTCAACCTGCTGGACAACTGCTGCTGGAACACGGATATATCCACAGCACCAACAAAGGCAAATGAAGCAGACAGGTGTCACAGATCTTCTCGCAACTTCTGGCCACACCTCGATTGGCCCGCTTGAATATATAAACAATCTCCTGAAATTTGTCTATAACTCATTACCATCCTCGAAGAAGTCCTCACTCAAATCAGAGCCATAGGTTATCTTGAATATGCCAGGAGCCAGCTGACGATCGCAGGCTTGGATCAAAGGTCGAAATAGCTTTCGTTCTCTCTCTGTTAATAGAGTCAGAATCTGATTGTGACTAAGGCAAAGTTGAATTACCCGATTAAACAGGGATCTTGTTATCTCATGTCTTTCATACAGTTTGGTCAGGGTTTTAGGAATTGCAAAACCAAGCCTCTCAAAGTGCTGAGCCTGCTCGCCCAGCTCCAGGACAGACATATCTATATTGCACTCAAGGAGACCTTAGGCTTCTTACTTCTAACAATCAAATAACGATCCAAACGCTGGCAGAGATCGCCAGACCAACCACAGCACTTGGCCACCCAATCCTCGTAGGCCTGTCGCGTTTCCTTGTCAAACTCATGACGCAGTGAATCGAATTTGGCCAAAGCTGGAGCGGATTCCTTAACAGGTGGCAGCCACTCGGCGCTCTTAAGACGATTCCTTAGCCAGGTCAAGCGCTCCAAATTGATGCGATAGTTTAGAGCTTTCGACACGTACTTGGGTAACCACGACTCCTGACGTCGCTCCTCCAGCAATTTTCTCGATGTGGAATCCATTTCCTGGGAGAACATCCTCCACAATTTGCTCACCTGTCGCATATAGGTCTTCCTAAGAGTGCCTCTTTGGCGATAGGAGTAGAAGAGCATGGCCTGCAGAGCCTCCAGGGTCTCCTCCACATTGGACACGTGTTGGAATGCATTAAAGATTAGTCGCTGGACAGTTTCCTCCAGTTTTTCATGCTCCTGCGGAAATCTGCAACCTGTTCGTACCAATCCGAGCGATGTACATTCAAGATGTATGCCTGGGAGCTACCCTGCAGTTGCTTCAAAGTGGCCAGAAACTGTTGCTCCACATTTGCGGATATCTTCTCCATCTCCTCGCCACAAGTGCCACCAAAAGCGGGCTCGGGTATGCTACCACTTTCATCCAAACGACCAAACACAATCATTGATTCACAAATATCAATCACATCATTTAGGCGCTCCACAAAGGCATCGATGTGGTTGAAAATGATGCCCTCATCCAGCTCCCAGGCAGGATTATTACCCTTGGACATTTCGCTGTAGATTCCCTTGTAAACCAGACAGCTATCGATGGCCATATTACACATTTTGATGCCAAAGCGGGACTTACCCGCGAGTATCTCCTCAACTTTGGTTTGTTCCGTGCAAAATCTGTAGAGAACCATAAAAAATTATATTAAATTTTAATTTGAATATAAGATACTGAATTACCTTATTATCTGGTTACTCAAATTCCTAAATAAACCCGCTATAAGCTTCGGCGTATTGTAGTATTCCGAATTTAACCAAATGAAACGTATTAGATGGATAATCCTGGGTAGAAGCTTGGGCAAGTCATCGGGACTTGGGGCCAAATCGATTTTGGAGCAGGGTTCAATCAGCAGACGAAGGTACTTAATGTTGGACAAGGACTGAAGTAACTCCTGTTTAGCCTGCTCAATTAGCTTATCCATTTGGGGCATGTGAACGGAGTGGGCATTGTGGAGAACCTTTAATACCTTTTGCACATCCGACTGGGCCAATTGGTCATTGATTCCCTGAAGAACTTCATCTGAAAAATATCAAAGGTTAATAAAAATCTATATATACAACCGACTTATCCTTATAAAGGTTATAAATATTAAACTTACACCGATATTCCCAGAACTCAAACTCATCCCGCACGGTGGCCAGATCATGGGGAACCATTAGGGTTCGATCCTGCAGTAAAGTCCGGATCTGTGTGGTCCAATACAAGGCAATCCCTCCAGACTCATGACCAGCTGCCTCTCCACAGGTGCTGCGCCCAGTTCCTTTATCACATAGGGAACATACAAGACAGCCACTCCCTCGATCTGATGATGTGTTCCCGTAAGGAATGCCAGGAATCTGTCCAAGCTGGAGCAGAAACGATTTCGTACCGTTCTATTCCAATCGCGATAGTTTCGGAAGAAAGGAACGTAGAGGCGTTCCAGCAACTCCATCATGCAACCATCTACATCGCTGGTCAGGGTGCCAAAGTTGACCTCATCATGGAATCCCTCCACGCTGAAAATCTCGTTTAGCTCCCGTCGAAAGTAGCTCAAATCCGAGACGAAGGTTTCGGGGATGCCCAAGCAAGCAGATAATACATCCTGATCATAATATACGGTCAGCAGAGGCTCATTCACCTCCAGTAGCCAGCGCCTTATGATGTCTAGGGTTCCCTCGTGCCAATCCCGGTGATCCAGGCCACTCAGGACACTCATTCGTTGTATATATCCCACCAGCTGGTGTAGTTCCTCGTCACTGTAGGATGGCTTTGGAGTCTCGGGACGTAGTTCCTCCTGACGCGGTTCAACGCTGCGCTCTAGGACTTAACAACTTAGAAGCTATTTCGGGAAGTACTTGAGTTAGTTTTTTACCCTCATCATCGGTTAAATCCGAGTCTGTAAGATGTTCATCTTCTACGGCGCTGGAGGAAGCCATTTTTTTAGTTTTTACGGCAAAAAGACAAACATAAACTTGAGAAAATCAAACAAATCCATGGCAACGTAAGTGCAAGACGCGTATATCTAATTTTTCGTATTAAGGACTGCAAAGTATATAAAAATATATATAATAAATCATAATCAATTAGTTTCCACTTAATCCAAGTTAAATGAAATACTTTTCGTAACGTTTTTAATTTTAAAAATTTAAACTAAAATCAAGTGTTGGAAAGGGACTTAGAAACTATGAGTCGCCGGATTTTAAAGACTGTGCGGCTTTGGTCACACTAAGCCAAGCTATTCAATTTTGGGCAACAATTTTTAAACATAAGAATTGTAAAACGAATAAAAATATTAGAATGGCGGTATCATTGGATATTGAAGACATATTGTCCCAGGGCAAGCACTTTATACCCGACCTGATCATCACCCACAACGATTTGGCCAAGCCCAGCATGGCTATTCTCACCAAGATCTTTGTTCATTATCTGCGATGCTTCGGCTTTCGAGTGGAACCACCTTTTAAGCTGGGCAGCGAAACCATAGATCAGTCGCGGGAGACGCGGGTGTTCCTGATCCGCCTCTGCCGCCAAATAGAGAGCATCGTGAAGATTGCATATCCCAACAAGACGTACCTCTACATGGACTTGATCAAGCCAGGTATGCAGTTAATCAGGGTTCATATACTTTTATAATGCTAACATATTAAACCTTCTCATTTCATTCTTAGCAAACAAAAAGACACTCAACACCCTGGGCCATCTATTTAACTATCTTGCATACTACAAAATGTTCAAGAAGAATGTCCTGGGACCCGTTGAACAGGGTATCAAGGTCCGGGACGCGTTGTTGGCCGAGGTCAAAGTCAAGCAGAACGAGTTGGATCAGCATAGGAAGACGGTAGCCACCATTACAGAGGATATGGAAGCGTGCAAGCTGGAGATTGCCCAAATGAAGGCGGAGCTCCATGAGTCCAAGATGAAGCTCGTACAGCTAAAGAAAAGCGCCAGCGAGCAGGAGAACGCCTTGGAAAACCTGGAGCAGCAGGAGAATGAACAGAGCAAGCGCATCACGCACTGGGAGCAGCTGGTGGTGGAGGAACACCAAGTTATGGAACTAAAAAAGTGAGTTGTTCTAAGACCAAATGATTTAATATTTTAATTCGAATCCTATTGGTCGACAGGCAAATCCAGAGCACCTCTTCGCACGTCGAGAGTTGCAAAAAGGAGCTGGCCAGCAAGGAACAGATAATTAATAGCCAGCGCAGCAAGATCGAGGCCAGCCAAAAGATCGTTATGGCACTGGAAAAGGCAACGCCCTTGATGCTGTTTTCCCAGTTGGACGAGTACAAGGAGAATACCAAGCAACTAGAGGCAATTCGTAAGCAGTTACCCGCTCTGGAGGCTCGAAATCAAAAGACCCTCCAGGAGGCTGAGACAAGGAAGAAACTGCTTCGCGATGAGAAGCAACAGATTCAGCAACTAAGGGAAAAACACAAGACCGACTCCAAAGATGCCCAGGAGCAATCGAAAAGCGGGAGACTGATATCAAAGGCCGGGATAAGACGGTTAAGGAACTGCAGAACGAGAATGAGACTCTGGCCGAGCAGATCGAAAAACAGGAACACATTCGCGGCATTTTGTGTGAGAATCTCGAGATCATCCTCGGCGAAAACAGCAAGTGGCATTAGGTTAGCACTAATTATACGGATTTTATTCTAAAACTGCAAACAGCTCAGCTCGTTTTTTTATTGGTTAGGACTGAACGGAGGGGGGTGCCGGGTAACTACTACGTCTCCATCTTCTTGCTCTCGAGATGCGCCTTCAGCTGCTGGCTGAAGTCGTCCTCCACGTTGTCGTCGTCCCAGTTGTCCTCCCACACATTCAGGTCCTCCTCATCATCCCCGACTTTGAAATCTGCAACAAAAATGCGAAACGTGAGACACCGCAATTTTCCAATGAACCAGCAATGCTCACCTTCTGCGGGAAACTCTTCGAATTCGTCGTCCTCCTCCAGAAGACCCAAGTCCTCACTTTTGTTGTTGGTCTCCTCCTTTTCCTTCTCCTTTTCTTTCTCCGGTCCAGACATTTCGTTTGTTTTCAGATTAATTGAAGGAGATTTTTAAGTTTGACGCTGTTTTTTTTGTGCCGAAATGATGCCTAGTCACTTGTAGTGTGGCTGTCACAACACAACGAAAAAATCACACAAAAAAACATGAAAAGACCGAGTAAATGTCAAACCTGGTCACACTGCTGTGGCGTTTGAAATCTATAGAATTTTAAATGGTTTATCATTTGGCTATACCAATTCCCTAAAAAATAAATTCTTCGCACTATATAAACAATATATTTTCTTAAATAAAAAATTTAAATATACTTCTTAAAAAATAGAACTCGAAAACTTGTAAGTAAGTGAATATCCCGCCCAAATTCAATTTTATTTTATTTTAACTAATTTAAATTTAGAATCATTAATTACCTTAAACCATTTACGAATCTAATCAAATTCTTTCACAATAATGTAATTTTTATCAAAATAGTCAGCATTTTTCTTTATACTTAGCTTTTATAAACTAATTCCAAGTTAAAAAATAACTACTATGTTTAACCCTTTACCCAATTAAATTAAATATTTCCCACATTCATAAAAGACACAAACATTTGTTTTTGTTGTTTTAAGCATTTAATGATTTGTTTAACATTTTTACTGTTGGCTATTACTTGACTTTCGAAGCTAAAAGGATTATTTTGAGCATATTGGATTTTGGGCTACATTCAATATTTAACTGTTGTTGTTGCTGATTGGCTATTTTAAACAATTAGAGCAAAAATGGTAGTTTACTTTAACATTAATAAATATATATATATATATGTTATGTGATAAATGTTTATAGGTTTTGCATATTGTTGCTGTTTGTTGCGTTGCCTTTTGATTTATTGCATAGCGAACTTTCGGTTTTTCCTGTTGGATTTCGTGCTGTCCAAAAATGTAATGAAAATAAAAAATCTTTCTTAATACTTCTCTCACTTAATGTTAAAAATTTTGTATGCCAAAATATATATATATATATATGTTCCTTTGTGGTTGTTGTTCTTGTTGTTGTTTGTTTAAGTATCTAGAGTTTACATTTATGTTTATACATATATAACTGTAGTTCAACGTTTAACATATTTAGTTGCTGCTGCTTGCAAATCTACATAATTAAATAGTTGGTTTTGATTTTTTGTTTTGTTTGCTTTTAAGTCTGCTAATGTTATATATGAGGAATAAAACACCATATACACTTGATTAGTAATATTTGTTATTTTTTTCAGATTTGTGTGTTGTCTCGGGCTCAAAACCTTCACATCTCATTTCTCTTCTCTTCTATACATTATTATTCATCACAGTTGCTCTCTCCCTTTCTCTATCTCTGTCTTCGCACAAAAATCAAATTAAATTCAATGCAATTATTATCATCATTTAACAATTTGTTACAAGCTCCGAGTTTGTTCATAATTGTTGTAGCTACTTAAATGGGGTGACAAGTTATAGGTCATATATTGGACTGGTTTTGGGATAAATAAGAGACTTTTGTCAGACCAAAGACCTTATAATAATACCTTATAACGCCATACTACTATTTGGTTTGACCTTCTATTTTTCAAATGAATGGGCTTTAGCAGCTTGTTATTATAAGGCCTCTGATCTGATTTTATGCTCCCTTTTCATCGCTTACAGTTTGTGTTTGTGGAGAGTGAATAATTCTATTTAGTTTTTATAAGATATAATATGAAAGCTTTTCTAGAAAAAGTGTTGTATCACATATATAGAGGAAGTGTTAAATATGTATTTCTTTTGTTTACCATTCGGGTTGTTGTTTGTATGTTTAACTTCAAGTCAAAAGTAGTAACAAAGTTTTTGCATTTTCTTAAATATTACAGGATATACATAGGTGTAAATAGAGTTAAATCAAACAGCTTAGCCTCAATAAAATGCTTTAAAGTAAATACATAAATATACCAAGTTCAGTTTCTATTTTCCATATCGATTAAATCTTTTCATTTCCAATCTAATCTAAAACAGAGACTGATCTTATTTCTCTCTGTTTTTCGTTTTCGAAGAGGGAGCACCAATAAAGTTTCGCTTAAACGATAATTTAAAAAAAAAAGGTTGGAGGGTAAAAAACATACATAGTTGTGGCAATAAATACGAAAAAGGAAAAGATATAACAGCTCTAAAAAATACGTTTTATAAATACTTAGCATAACTTATTATTTCGTGTGTGTTTGTGGGGACATGTTATACTTTTTTTTTGTTTTCTTTTCTTTTTAAAACGCTAGGCGTTCTCTAACGTTCATTTTTGGACTTACAAACTACATAAATACACACCAAACATCAAAAATATGGATAGGATATATATCTATACATTACATAGATATACACTTGGTTACTTTTTTGGGGTGACTTGATTATTTCTTGATTTTTTTCAATATTTTAAATAAGTTTTTCAAAGAAAAGTAATAGATAACTCACTCTCTCGACTATATCTACTCAAAATTTTGGTTGGAGTTGTTTTCGACAATAAAAAATTCTTAAAACATCAATTAATCTTTAGTCAAAAGCCTAATTTGTGCTTCTGTATGTTTTCACATCGAATGATATCAAGCCACCCCTATGATTAATAAGGAATTTATCCCAACAACAAGATTTACTCGCGACGCGTTCGTTTAGGACGTGAAGCGGCTATAGAATCACCTCCTGGCGATGATGATCTGCCAGTGGCACTTGCTCCACTCACCCCTCCTCCTCCACTGGCGCCTCCAACTCCACTCAGAAGACTATCACCGCCGGAACTCGAAGAAATTGCTGTAATTGTGGCCGAAATCGTGGCCGAGTGCTTCTCCACTCCGCGAACTTTTCTCGAGGCCACAGACTGGGCGGTAACTTGAAGCGAAATGGCGTGTGTATTGAGCTTCTCGGCCAACAACAGATCCTTCAGGCCTTTCATCTTCTGGCTGTACAATGTGATCACGGGTTTCTTGAGCATTATCTCGAATGGATCATAATCGTCGCTTTTGTCCTCGGGTTTAGCTTCTCGATGCTGTGGCGGCTTATCTTGCACTTGAGCTTGATGTTGGGCGGTGCGAGAGTCGCTGGAAACTGGTAACTGGACAGAGTTTCCACTTCCATTGCTTGTTGTGTTTATTGTAGCCTCCTTTTTGTCCGTATTATGATTGTTATTATTGCTCTTGCTAATATTGTTATTGTTGTTGTGGGACTCTGTTGCGTCGACATCGCCTCCACCAGAAGATTGTTGTTGATGTTGTTTCTGATCGGCAAAGGGCTGGCCGCCACCCTGTAGCAGAAAGTCAGGATTAAGAATCTTCTCGCCACATGCGGCTGTTAGATCGGCCAAAGTTGTGGGCAACTCCGAGTTCTTTGTTTTCTGCAAGGAGTAAGAAACATATTGCTTTTAGTTTAAATAAATAATTACGCTTTAAAGACTTACCTCTTCCTTTTTAACTACCGTATTGTTATTGGTAATTCCCTCTGTCGCCTCTGAAGAGCCCACAGCTGCCTCCCTGGACTCCTTAGCCTCTTGTTCGGCCTTGGCCTGTTCCGCTTCAAGATCCTCGGGCAACTTTATAACCACCTGGGACCTGATGTCATAGTCAAACTTGGTGATATTATTCACAAGCGGCTTAGCCCAACCAATATGCAGGATGGGCGTTAAACTGTCCTCTTCCCATTGACAAATGCCATCGTAGAATCGCAGCAGATTGGCAAAAACTTCAGCATCTCGCAGAATACTTCTTGCCGAGTGGCCAGAACTCTCGGTTTTCATTACATACGGTATCAGCTCGTTGGCAATGTCCAGCAACTCCTTGTAGATTTCCTCGTCATCCCGGCACTGGTACGTATACAAACGAATCACATCCGCCGCATTCGCCCACGCGGCAAAGGCGTCCCTATACTTTAGCAATCGATTGTAGTAGTTTCCCTGGTAGGTATACGGATAGACGTGGTGATTGCGATAGTGGGTTCTCGCCGAATCGATTGCCTCGCGGTAAAGCTGCTCACAACTGATGCTCGGATGGGTGCGATGAATCTCCTCTAGCTCCCCGAGTGTACCCAGGGCCATGGGATAGCGCTTGAGATGTCCCAGGTCGTATAGCAACCACAGAAGCTGCTGCTGCAACTCGGCCACTTCCACGCAGTCACTGTTTGAGGTCAGCGAAATGTTTAAAGCTGCACAAATAGCCGCCACTTCCATTCCTCGTTCACAGATCACCGCCAGTCCGCCCAAGTAGAGCCATGATCCAGATTCGATTCCGGGTCGTATGTCCTGACCCCGCTTATCCTCACTTCCTTTGCCGTGCCACGTCACCTCGATGGTCTCCACTCGCTTCTGGCCGAACACTACCCAGGCGTGATCCTCCGAAATGGCCAGGCGCACATCCTTATAGCCAAGCAACTGGCAACCCGCGACTACAGCCAGGGCAACGCCAAAGCAATCCAATTTGTTGCCGGACAGGTAGCTGTAGAGGTTCTGCAGGTGGGCCCGATCCTTGTAGCTGCTCCGGATCAGCGAGTTCCAGATCACGTCCGATACCTTCTTAATTACCTCGCGGGTGGCCTGGCGATGTGGCTTTGGTTTTTCAACCACGGACAGTATAGTTTGGAACTTCTTATATAGTCCGGCGATCAGTTCGTGTGTCACTACCGGAAAGGGAACGCTGTTGCCCATGATGACATCATTTCCACCTGTATTAATTGAGAGGGAAATATATAAAGTTAGTGGGGCTTAATAAGGTTTAATAAGGATTATTTATGTATATAGAAGGGGAAAAACAAGTTTGACAGAAAGCGTTTAACGTTATATGAAAAATAACCAAAATATTTTTGATATATGATAATGAGTAAAGGAATTCCCCCTTTAAATGGAGGAGTGCTCTTCAGTTTAAACCTAAACAAGAGCCCTTTAAACGCGTTTCTTCACTTCCGTTTTAACTGGTTTCCCCCTTTTTGATATACGGTTAACTGTAAACGCGACCGGTAAATGATGATTGGTTAAACACACACCTGTCGCCGACTGACTGATGTCACCTGCTGCCGCAGTAGCGGCGGCGGCGGCTGCCGCCTGAGCGGCCTGTGCAGCAGCCTCTCCCGTTGTCAGCGATAACTCAATGTAGCCAACCACAATGGAGAGTAGCGTTAGATCAGGCTCGATTCCGGAGGTTAAAGCACGCCGAAAGAGATTGACCACATCGGAGGTGGACTTTAGCGGGAACAAGCTGGCATCGATAATGCCATTTAGAGCCATGGGACTCGCACTGGCACTTCTAGTAATCGTCGACATGGTTCTTATGGGGGACGGTGATATACTAAAGCCGGTATTTGTTAGTGCGCTTAAGATCCTTCCGAGTAGATTTGAACTGAAGTGTCAAGCTTCAAATGCCTAATAAGAATAGGTTGAATTATTATAAAGATTTGTATTTATATTTAGTTTTCCACTTACTTTTACTTGTGCGAATTTCTATGATATTCCGTAAATGCTTTCCTCGTTTTATTGTGATAAATTGTAAGCCTGATATCTTTTTTCTTGACTCTTTTCTTTTATCCGTAATCGGCCTTTTTTGTGTATCTGAAAATATTGAAATAGAGGTTTTAAAAATCTTTGAATTTAAGGAACGGAGTACAAACTTACCCAAATATGTAGCTTAAAAGCCTTGCTTATCTTTTCGTCCTGTTTTTAGCCTCTTTATGAGATTTTCTTTAAATATATAATCTGCAAAGAAAGCAGCTTGCTTAGGACTTTTAAGTTTTCTCCTGTTTAGAGCGAATTTCCTTTTGTTTTCCCAATTAAGAAAGGGTCTCCATTGAAATGTGTTGCGACTTACCCGAGTAACTCTTGGGAATCCTGCTTAGATTTGCCACCTGTTACTAGCCTAAATCTAAGTTTGGTGATGGAAAGAACGGAAATTAATGAGAATTCAAGGAAATCAAATTATTGCAGAGCTTACGCCTTTTTTCCACCTGTTCCTAGCCCGATAACGAGCTCGTTATTATCCTGCTGCTGCTGCTGGCCTTTCGCCTGGATTTGTTGGATGCACAATGGCCACTGGCGATTGGCTGTTGGTGGTGGTGCTGCTGCTGCTGCCGTTTGTACAGCCAGCCACTTTGTGGCTGCAACATTGGCAACAAGTTGACAAACAACTTTTTGTCGTTGTCGCGCACCTTCGGCCCTTTTTGCTTATATTTTTTTTCGCCTTTTTCGTTTGTACTTAAGAGCAGGATTTTTGCTGCTGCGCTTCACTTGCACTTCTTATTTGCAACAACAACAAAAGCAAAACGACAAACAACTGGTTTTCTGCATGTGCTTGCACATGTGTGAGTGTGTGCGTGTGTGCGGGAGTGAGTGTATGTGTATGCATGCACATGCATGTGCAGTTGTGCAGTTGCTGCGAAAAATAATGTATATATCCTGTGTCCTTCGCCATCCACGTCATCAGTAATCGGACGCACGGGGGGCAGGTGAGTTTCTCGCACCTTTCAATCGTCACTTGTTTTTGTTTTTGGTCTTGTCTCTGCTGCCGCTGCTGCTGGTGCTACTGCCCGCCACCCCCTTCAGCGGATTTCCACTTGACACGCAGTTGCACTTGTCGACCCGAAATCCCAAAGTATCTCGGCGAATTCGATACGATTTAGTTTAAGCATTATTTCCGCTGCAATTTGGGTGCTAATTAAGGTGGTTTAGATGCGCGACGCGCCAGGTGAAAACCAGGTAAAATTTCGACGATATAATTGCGTTGTGTTGTGTTTACGTTATTCAATGGGGGGTGGGGGTGTAATAGAGCTGGCAAACAGTCGATGCCACTCTCGATTGCACTATCGATTGTTTTCTCTATAAAAACACTATTGGAATTGTTTGCTATTAAAAAAAACGAAAGAAGGTTTACAATAGCTATAGCTTTAAAACAGAATTAACAATTGTTCCTTATTTTTTATTAGTTTTTGCAAGTTCCATTACTTTGCTGATGTCAGTGTGTACACACCTTAAATGGTCCAAAGCTATCGATAAGTGTTGTAAAACTAATTTTAAGTGGCCGAGTTCGAAACTTGTAACGTTGGCCTGTGATTCAAAACAGTTTACAAATTGGGAAAATTATTAAATAACTTTTTGCTTTTCCTATCGATTCCAAAGGAGGCTTTTATATATATGTAAATATAAGACATAAAGGACAGGTTTGTCAGCACTCATTCAGTCATAGACTCTCTCACAATTACATAGCTTTGGAAATATTTACCACAATTCTCAAATGTATATTTCATATGAATATTTACAAAAATGCCGCCAGTTTTAAGAAAGTCCACAACTGATCAAAGAATAGTCCGCTTGTTCCCAAGAGTAGCCCTTGGAAGCTCACAGAACTCTGCTAATTCCCATGAACAGACGGGTCAAAATCAAAATCAAGCTAACCCATTTGATATTAACGCAATTGAACCCATGGAGGTGGATCATCAGCCAGTGGTGCACATGAATCTAAATCTAAATTCCGGGATCAGTGGCTTAAGACGGTCGGAAAGAATTGCGAATAGGATTTCTAGGCAACAGAGCAAAACTAATGTTGAAGAATCTGCAGCAAATGACAAAAGATCAGAGGAACAAAGAAGACAATTATGAAGAAGAAGAAGAAGAAGGTTAAAAAATCGACCCTAAGAAAGTTTTCTAAAGGTACTCAAACCAACTTCATACATGATGTTAGTAATATCGCAAGACCTCTGCATAATTCCATCATACGATATAATGTGGCACTAAGGAATTCGTTTCAGTTCCTTGGTGAGTTTTGGCTATATCTTTGCAGTTTATTACGGACGCAATTTCAGTTTAATTAATTAATTTATAAACAAAAGAAAAAATTTAAATGTAGATAAAAAAATTATAAAAAGTAAAAAATACAAATAGAAATGTACAATGGTTTGTAACAATATTGTATTTGCATTGGCCAAGAGATATTTTTGGGATCGAAGGGTAATCACTATCACCACACCATCACTTTAGATCCAAACAGGTAGAAGGCCACGTATAGACTGAGCTCGGTGCGGCAGCACCGCCCGTATTTATACTCTCCAAGCAAAGAGAGTAGCAGAGAATGTGATATCGGGAGCGCGAGAGCGCTACAGAGAAAGAGATATAAAGAAAGTTAGGCAGAGAGAGATAGAGAGAAAGTTAGCTCTACACACAGAGGCACACAGTGAGAAATAGACATATCGAAACAGATTGAGTTAATGAGAGAGAGACATAGAGAAATTACTCGTGCACTGCATCTCAAACTTCGGACTAAAATTCAAATGCCCTAAAAAGTTATAATAAACGGCAAGATACAAGATTTAAATTTCATATTTGTAGCCATTACCTATGCACTATCGATATAACAATAACTGCCTATCGATATGTAATACAAAATACAAACATAATGTGGTCACACTGTTTCATTGTTTACATTTCGTGTTTATTTTCAATAAAATAGCATGCCGGTTTTTGCCAATTTTAATGTTAAAACAACAATTGACTGCAAACAAGGAGCAGTTCGTGCTGTGCGCTATAATGGTTTGTGAATAGAACTTCACTTTATCCTTAGAACTTCAATAATTAAGTCTCAATTTGTATACAATAAAATTCCGGTTAATTAGAATATTAATTGCAATTTTCTTAGTTGACGGCACCTATTGCTTGAGCTGTGGCTCTGACAAGAAGATTAAGCTGTGGAATCCGGTCTCGGGACTACTCCTAAAAACCTACGGTGGACATGCGGACGAGGTGACGGATGCGGCGGGCAGCTGTGACAGCAGCTACATCGTTTCGGCCAGCCTGGACAAGAGCATCATCTACTGGGACGTGTCCACAGGTGAGAGACTCCAGCTTAAAGCACATGATTAATATAAATAAGTCAATTGTATTGGTTAGGAACCCCCGTAAGACGCCTGCGTGGCCATGCCGGTGGTGTGCGCTGCGTCTGCTTCAACGAGGACTCCACGGTGGCTATTTCCGGAGGTCGGGACAACGCTGTCATATGCTGGGACATTCGAACACGACGCCTCGATCCCGTCCAGGTGATGAAAGAGGCACGCGATTGCATCACCACTGTGCTAACCAACGAGAACAAGATCTATGCTGCCTCCCTGGATGGTTGTGTTCGGACCTACGACATCCGTGTGGGTGAACTCACCTGCGACAAGGTGGGCGAACCCATCACCTATCTGAGTCAGACGCGTGACGAACAGTGCCTGGTGGCTGGCTGTCAGGATAGTGTGGTGCGACTGCTCGACTGCGAGACTGGAGGTTTGCTCTCCGAGTACAAGGGCCATCGGGGCGATGACTATCACATCGAATGCGGAATACTGGCCAACGATGCTCACATTGTGTCTGGATCCAGTGACGGTGATGCTCTGATTTGGGACCTGCTTGAAGGCAAAGTTCTGCAACGTATTCGTATTAGTAAGGATGTTGTGTTTTGCATTGAAACTTTTGGAATTGATAGTTTGCTTTCTTTTCAGGCGATAATGGTGGTGTTGTACACTCGCTGGCCACTCATCCCAAGCGACAGGAGCTGCTCTTTGCCAGGCGTAGGGACATGTACGTCTTTTCTGCTGATTTGCAAATCGAAGAGGAGCAATTGTAGTCTATATTATTTATATATTATAATGTAAGATCAGGCTAGTGGTAAAGATATAGAGAAGATTGTAAACATATAAACCAGAACACAATGTACACTATAAGAATAAATACCTCGTATTTTAATTATTTTATAACCTTTTTATAAGAGATTAAACACATAATACTGGAGCCCACACCCCATGAGAATTAAAAACCAACTTGTTAGTCATTTTCTTGTTGAGGGAAAAAGGAAAAACCATTTATTTGACATAATGTTTTGTAATTTTTTTGTTTTTTTTCTTGTTTTTCTTTGTAGTTTTTGTTTTCATATAGAGCATGAATGTATGTAGTAATATGTGGGTTGTATGTATGGATCTGGCTTATATATGTTTTATGTAGTATTTCATGTTTCGATTTCGTACATAATTTTCTTGTTTAACTATTAAACGGCCTGCATAATGTTGTTGTTGTTGTTGTTTTGTTTCCTTAATCATAATTCGAATGCAGGACACGTGAGCGTGCTGGATCGTGCGTGTGTGTGCGTACTGCCGTGCTGCTCTGCATGCAATTTGCCGATCTCTCTTCATCATTCTCATGTCTCTCTCCTTGTGGGGGAAATAATGCGGGACGCCAAGCCGCGGCAATGCTGTGCGAATCGATTTCGAAAAAAAATCGAGCTCGAGAATTCGAATTTCGAATAGGACTGGCGGCCGAGCTTACTTGCTGGTACACTTGGTGTCGCAGCCGGCAGCTACGAAACGCACAGCATCGGCGCGGCTTGGCGAAGAGAGGTGTCGACTCCTGCAGATGCGCAGGCGCGCAGGCACACACAACTCACGAAGCGCCTCTCTCCCTCAGGCATACGCATTCTTAAATCGGGGAGAAGAATTGGGGATTTTGGGGTGGAGGATCGGGTATACATCGTACATACTTATGTCACTAAAGCATATTAAATATGTATGCAAAGTATCCTTTTGTTTTTATTTTATTGTAGTTTAGTAGTAATATTATGTAATGTTCCGTTACTTATGTGTTTATGTACTCTGCATGTGTATTATTTATATATGTTTATGTTTATGGTAGGTATGAATAATTTGTATATAATTTATATTTATATATATATATATGTATTTTATAATAGTTTATATAATAAACGATTTCCACTTGTTTTTTATGTTTTTTTTTTAGTTCTCTGTTTTTTTCCTTTAGATTGTTTTAATTTTTTTTTTTGCTTGTGGTTCTATTTCGAATCAATTTTTTACGTTTTTTTAGGTTTTTTCTCTCATTCGCTCGCTTACATAATTAGACTTAAAAATTTTTACACAAATATATCAACAAAAACTCAATAAGTTGCATTCAAAGTACATATATATATATAGATATTTATATATATATGGTATAATGTATTAAAATTAAAAATACAAGTAATAATTTAAAAAAAATATAAAAATTAATGCGATGGTGTTTATAGAGTTCAAAAAATGATAAACAGAAAAATTCATAAATTTTATGTCTATTTTCTTTTCTTCTTCCTTCTTTGTACTCTCTGTTTTGTTGTTTTGTTTTGTTTTTTTTCGTTCAATGTTTGTTGTTATTTCGTTATGCTGTTCGTTTTTCTGTTCTATTTTGTGTTTGTTATCGTAAATCAATTGCTCTGTTTTTTCTTTTTTAAGTTTTCTGTATTTTAATTCTAGTATTTATCTTAACCAATAAATGAACAAATGTTACGACGTGTATTTTTTCTTTGCATTTAATTACAGTGGCTATGTGTTTGATGTTGAATTGTTGGTTGTTTGGATTGTTGTTGGTTGTTGGATTGTTGAATTGTTGTTGTATTGTTGGCGTTCTAAGCTTGGAAATTGGTTTTGGTTGAGTTTTAATTTAAATCATATATATATAGTTATTTATTATCCCAAAAATACAAAAATTGTTTAGGTCTGCGCTTGGTATCTCTTTTGTTTTCTTTTTTGATTTGTTTCTTATTTTCTCATAATTTTTCGTTTAAGTTTTTACTAATTTACATACTTTTGCCTCGACCTTGGTTGTTTAATAGCAGTCTCCTTGCTGCTACTGCCACTACTCTTACGTTGTTGTCGCGAGGCTGCAAATGGAGGATTCTGCTTAGTAAATTGTTGAGTGGTTGTGGTTGTTGTTGATGTTGCTGCTGCTGTCTGGCGAGCGCCTTTAATACTAGCTCGTGAATTAGAAACAGCTCCTGCACCACCACATCTGCCGGCTGCCTTAGCAGCCAGTACTTCCGCTCCCGCTCCTGCTCCTGCCGCTGCGACACCAGTTGCCGATCCCAATCCCGTTCCCATCTTGGGGCCATTGAATCAGGACGACGGCAACTGCTTGGCCACTATAACGCCCGGCCGGCACTGCTTCAGGGCAGTCGTGGTGATGGTCACCTGCTGGGTATTACTGCCGCTGATCACCGCCTGCGCGTGGCTGGAGTTGGGACCACCGCCGCCTGTCGTCTGCACCTTGAAAATGGCCGTGGGCGTGACTGTACTACTGCTGGAGGAGGAGACCAAACCGCCGGCATCCTTTGCCGACTTGGCCGTGATGATCACCTGCTTGTTGCCGCCGCTCTTGAGCTGGAGGAACGGTCTCAGCTCGGCCAGGGCCGCATGCTGCTTGCCCGTGGTGGTCAGAGCCAGCGGAGCATCTTGCGCCAGTCTGTGATGCTGAGTGTGATGATGCACGCCGGTTAGCTGATGGACCTGGTGATGATGATGCTGCTGGCCACGCTGCTGCTGCTCGTCCGCAAAGAGATGATCACCCTCCAAGTGGCGAATGGCCTGGACTATGGTCTCCAGATTCTGGCGATGCGGATGCTGATAGTGGGTGGCGGCCTGAATCGATTGCTGCTCGTGCTTCTCCGCCTTGACTTTGACAATCTTCTCGTGGATGCGCTCCACCTCCACCTTGGGCGTGGCCTTAATGGCCGCCTGCAGGATGGGCTGCAGCATGGCCGCACTTGACGTACAGCCCTCGGCATAGGCTTTGGCAATGGTATTCACGTTGACCTCGTTCTCAGACTCTGTGGAGCTATTCGACGATAGGATGACCTCCTCGTGAACCTGATCTTCGGTTATGATCTCGGCGGCGGCATCCGCTTCCAGTTCCTCAATGCTGGAGCACACAACAACCTGCTGCTGGCCCGTCATCTCATCAATCTCCACATATGAGACGGTGCCGCCCAACTCCTCCAGATCTTCGGTACGCACAAAGTTATCGGTGTGCTCGATGACCTCGCGTGGAATGTAGGCGCTGCTGCCACCTGATGCGGCTGCCACTGCAGTTCCGGGTGGCGCAGTAGCCACACTATATAGCTGCCGCTTAATCATCTGCAGCTCATCCTCCAATAATCGCCTCAAACTGCGCTCCTTCTCCAGCTGCTTCTTATTATCGAGCAGCTCCTTGGCGGCAAGGATGCTTGCGCTGCTCAGCTTGGTGGCGGCTGCTCCGCCCGCAGTCAGAAGAGTCATCGGTTCGGGTGACATGGATCCTAGGCCTTCGTCGGAACTGTCGCTAATTGCCTGAATGTTGATCACGTTATCGGTGAGCTTGCGCTTCTTGATGGCCACCGCCGTCGTTGAGTTGTTGTTGCCTCCGTTGTTGGCACTGGAATCGTTGTAGTTGCCGCCAGAGTTGGCACCGTTACCGCCCTCGCCGGAACCACCACCACCGCCGCCGGCCTCATGCTCGCCCACCTGTCGCTTCAGTTCGCTGTTTTGCGTCAGCAGCTGCGTCTTCTGATTCTCCAGATCCACGATGTACTGGAAGGTCTGTTGCAGGATGGCAGCCTAAAATAGGGAAATTAAGTTTGGATTAGATGGATTTCTTTTAAATAATTATAGTAAAATATTATATAAATCATGGGCTATCTTGGATAATAAGTATCTTTATTCAATCCTAGTACTAGAGCACTTGAATGGGGTTTTTGGACAGAAGTTATATTATATTTCTTTGGTCCTGTGGTTTTAATATAGTCTTAGTAATGTAATATAGTAATGTCTTCATTATAATCCCTATGTTAATATCTGCATTTTCCCCTTCATCTTTGTCTTGGTCTAATTATCATTAGGTTAGCCCTTTTATAATGAGATTCTCTCCGATTCCTTCTCTTTCTCCCCACAATAAAAGTCATTCAGAAGAAACACACATAGGGGAATCTTCACGAAAAGGGGTAGCAAAAAAGAAGGAGATAAAGGAAGAGGAGGAGGAGGAGAATGAGGACGAAGCATAATTGCCGAGAGCCGACTTAATTGCAACAACATATATGCACATACATATACATAAATGGCATGGCTTGTTGCTTTAGCATTTTGCCTTTTTTTTGCCTTTGCCTTTGCTGTTTTTGTTTGCATTTTTTTGTTGTAGTTGTTATTGCCTTGGACTGCGGCTACAGGGACTGTTTATAGTAAATACTGTAGTAAGCGATGATTCCCTTGCTGTTTTTGATGTTGTTTGCTTCTTGCGGAAAGGTGAAGGAACTCGTGTCCTTCAAAATGCGCGCGCTCTTAAAGCAAAAGCCTTGTTCAACACTGGCAGGCGTGGTGGGAAGAAATGAACAGAGAAAGGTGGGGAAATTAACAGAGGATGCAATAACGGTATTTAAAAAAAATCTGGCTTAGAAAGCAGCCCGGTGGGGCAGGAAAAAATGCAAATACATATGCGTGGTGCGTGGGCGGCATGTTGTGGTTGAGCCACATATTTTTAAGAGAGAGCCAAGTCGGGAAAATGGAGCTGCATCCAAAGGAAATAAAGGAATTTTTAGCATCTCGAAATGAATCCAAGGTATAATTTCGGGAGGAACCTTTATAAGAAACTAATGCATTACCATATTCTTGTAGATGCATTAATTTGAAATGATTTCAAGATATATTTTAATTCCAAATAGGCACAGTTCCCTAAATAAAACAAATCGTAATATAAAAACAGTCATATTTGCATAGAAAAATCTCACTGTGGTGAAGAAAAGCAAAAGAAAGTATTGCCAATCATTTCTGGACACCTATTTATTTAAATACTTTTCCTTGGAATACCTTTGCACACTCTTTAACCCCATTGGAATGCCTGGCATTCTTGGGAGAATTTGATTAAAAAGCAATAAATCTTTGGCTACTTTTGTGCAATTGTCTGCGGCTCTTGTTATTGTTTTTGTTGCAAAAAACTTGTTTCGATTTCATTTTTGTTGTCGGAGGTCACTGCTGCAAGAGCAACAAGAACAACAACATAAGAGAACCAGACAGACGCCGGCACCGCACAGCTGCTGTACGCTCTCTCAGTCTCCCACTCTCTCGCTCTCTCACTGGATACTCTCCACCTCTGCCTTTCTCCCACACACCACACACCAGCTGTAGGCCCCCAGAATCACTGTTGTTGTAATTGAGCTAGAAAGAGCTACAGAGAGAGGGGGAGATGTTGTTGTGTACAGTTTTCTCAGTTCTATTATTATTATTATTGTTGTCGTTGTTGTTGTTGCACCTCTGTATCTATTTCCATAACAGGCGGCGGCCGTTGCAATGCCGTGGAAACGTGTGAGCATTTTTTACATTCGATCAAATCTAACATAGCATATTTAAGTTTTCTAACCGCTCAGCAAATACATTAGTGTTGATTGCTCACACAAAGGTCGTTCATTGACACCGCCAGTTGAGGAATTGCCTATTGGAAGACGTTCTCTGACACTGGAATGGAATGGAATGATAAGAAGCAGCTCACAAGGGAGTTGCCGCTTTGTCTAATAAAATATTCCTTAAAATTGGCAAAAACAAAGGTTAATTTAGCTGAGAAGCAAGGATTTTAATAATATTCAGCAATTTAAACATGTAATGAATGTAATTGCTCATTCAATTTCTATACTTGGTTTTGTATTTGTCGAATTCTTTTAAAAACCTTTTAAAAGAAATCTGAATATATTAAGCTGATTAGATTTCTGAATGCACTTGCTGTCCAGTCTAGTTGGAATAATCATATGTCCCTATATAAATTCCCATTCCAATATCATATGGTAGTAAGAGCTATGCCCCTCTCGCTTGCTCTCTTGCTCTGACTAGCCGGTAAGTTCCAGGCCTTGGCTAATAAGAAAATGTCGTTGCCTTCGTAGACGCGACGCTGCTGCCCAGTCCAGTGTTGTTTTTGTGGCTTGGAAAATGCCGGCAAGTGAAACGAGAGGAAAAAGAAAAACAAATAAAGTCTATGCACGGCCACACGATATGTGTATACATACATATGTGTAAACAAAAGGCAAAGCCAAAACCAAAAGCATAAACAAAGCAAGGGGGAAAATAAAAAGACGATCAAACTCGCGCGCGAGTCCAACAAGAATCCAATTCAGACGCAACCCAAACCCAACCAACCAACAACAAAGGCAAAAGAAAAAAACAACAAAAACAACAACAGCAGCAGCAGCAACCAACAGACGGCAGACAGCGTCAACAGCAGCAGAGACAGCGGCAGAGGCAAGCGTTGGCCGTTTTTGCGGTGACTGTACTTTTTTCCAACACCACCACCACCGTTTCAGAAGCCAGCAACAGTTCCAATACGAAAAGTTTTTCAATATTCGCCGGCGTCGCCGCTGCTGCCGTCGTCACAAATGTTGCTAGAGAGAGCGAGCGAGTGGCTCTCTCAACATGTTAAGGTAGGGGTAATGATTGCGCGCGCCAGAGCGAGACAGACATCAGCATTTCGTTTCGTTGCCGTTCGTTTCTGTGAAACGGAAACCAGACGTAGCGAAAAAACATGTGGGCCCAAGCTTTTTCGCGCGCTCTCTCTCTCTCTGTCTCTCTTTGTACCTATCTGGTAAACACGTGCTCTCTCAAGCTTTCCAGTTGGAAGTGGCGGCGCGGCTAGTGCTCTCCCTTTCTGGCAACAGCAGCTGACTTCTATAAATGGCGCGTCTGTTTTTCTGTTTCTGCTGCTGCTGCTGTTGTTGTTGTTGTTCCTGCACTATTGCTGTTGTTGTTGTAGGTTACACTACAATTTTGTTGATTGAATAAAATGAAATGCATAAAAATAGCAAATACGCCGCCGCTGCCGGTGCGAGAGAATTCGTCATCAGCTGAGCTGGCAGGCGCTCAACAACGACAACAAAAAATGCGATTGATGGATTTGTGCTTGTGCTGAGTCTTTATCTGTATCTTTAGCTGCAAGTGTAACTGTATCTTTATAGAGGTAAAATTTATATTCGAAGCAGATTAAGTATCTTCAATTTGATTTTTAATATACCAACAAAAATGCAGCCCACCCACCACCCCACAACACCAACACACAAACAGTTTCCTCCCCTCTTTCATTGGATTTTCTTTGTTGTTTTATTTTCCGTTTTTCTATCATTTTTTTGTTTTCTTTTCGGTTTTGGTTTCATTTTTGTTTTTGTTTCACTTTTTTTGGTCTACGTGCGTGCACGCATGCCTCTAAGCGTGGCGCGCTTTCCCACTTGGCGAAATGTGGTAGAAAATGAAAAACAGCCAGGGAAAATCAATTTATTTTTACAACTTTTGGTGGTTGGCCCGCCCCAAAAACAAACAAAATGACGAAACGGAACCTAAGAGGTTTATCTCTCTGGCCTATATAGCTATATATATATTTATAAGCAATAAAACAAGAGATATTCCCTTGAAAAACTAACTGGATAGTGGTTTAGCGGAAGCGGAATTTCCCCTTTTTACCAAATTGTTATCTTTTATGAACACACAAACCACCTTCTCTATAAACAAAGGTACTTAAAATTATCTTCTTCGATTTATTCAACATGATTTGAACCCGTTTTTGGTAATTAAAATTTATCAAAGAATCGAACTATTCACCTGTGGTGAATATAACTGCCATTTTTATCGATATTTATATAAAAACATTATAAAACTAAAGAATTTATCTATTTGTCTCGGCATTTAATTAGAAATATGGGAAATTACAGAAATATTTAAGAACTTGGCTTTCTTATAAATAGAGATCGAATCTCCTTCGGTTCTTCTTTTTGTTTTAAACCGATATGCGAATTGTTTACTTTCCGCTTATTTACCATCTGACGGTTATATTTTTTTCCTTTTACCTGTGCTCTGCCTCGCTCGTCAGTGGAGTAAAAAAAAAAAAGAAAACAATTAACGCAACGTTCTGGGCTTATCTCTGGGCTCTTCACCTGCAGATGACGGCAGTGTGACAGGTGTGTGTGCAAAGCACCACGAAAAAAAGAAGGAAAGAGGGTGCAAAACCAAACGAGTCAGCTGATGTTAATTTTTATGCAAATTTCGGGCCATTCCCTAACATTGTTGGCCAAAAGAGGTTGTTTGCGGAGCAACAGAAAACATAAAAAAATATTAAATGGTTGTATAAAACATTATAATATTAGTCAATTTAATTTCTTTTGTTTTCCTTGATAATCCATAAAGGATTATTAGCTAGGCTAGAGATTAAAATCCAATTTGTGGGTTAACAATTTCATAGCATACTTTAGGGGATTTGAATACTTTTTTATACTGAATGGGTGTTGAAATCTTTTAAAATGCTGTCTAAAAACATGTTACTAAAAATACAACTTAAATTATAACCCATTTCCTCCATTCGTGTCTGTTAAAAATAATATCTGCTTGCTTTTATGGCTAAACATTGAACATGGTTTCGCATTTATTCGTTTTCATTAGCATTGCGTAGCGATGAGCGTTTTGTCGGCCGTTAATATGGCCAACATGCTAAATTAGCATCGAGACATTCAAGTATTTGGCCATAACGGATAACGGAACCCGAGACGAGTTGCACAGGCCATATAAGTAACATCAAGAAATCGCCTACGCAAATGCAA